GCGCAGCTCAGTTTCAACTTCAAGGCCACCAATAAACAGAGTGATACATGTCTGCAGAATCACAACATAATCACAGATATACAAAAGGATGAATGAAGTTTGAAAATATGAAAATTTAGAGGTATTTTACAATAAATTCAAGAAGAAAAGCGCTATTAGTCAAGTTGAAGTGCTCGTGTATCAAGTGATACAACCGTGTCTCAGGAGGGTAGAAAATAAGACAACGATCAGCTTGGGGAGACATACTCACTCGTTTACATATAGAAGTATTGCATACTACAGGTAAAGTAAACGTTTTATAAGCTAATTTTCGGGCTTATGAAAGTAACGGCGATGAAAATAATATTACGTCGATGGCATCATGATGCCATATAGGCATGACATTTGAGGGTGTGTTGGCGTTCTTCAGTTTATCCTGTAAAGATAGGTTTTAAGTGAGCAAATTTAATGTTGTAAAATAAAATAAAAATAAAGAACAGATTTCAGTTGGTTTGGGGTATAACGTAATCTGTCTTAATCGTATTGTGGAACCTCGTCCTCCTTTTCGATGCCAATAAACCAGTTTACCAACAATATGGCAGCAGAGCAATGACCTGTGGATGACGTGATACCAACTGGAAACTTCTTTTTGGCCTAATGGTGCGTAAAATGTTTAAATTTAGGATAAACCCAGAAAATGATCTGTTGAGTTAATTCTCAAGAAAGCTTTATGACTGCTATAGAGGCACCTACTACCTTACCACCACTAAACATATCTCTATATTATCCACAAATACATGCATCATGGCCCAAGAGAAAAAGGATTTGAAAGAAGCCTTTAAAAACGCACTAACGTGCATCTTGCTCCGACCTGCAGCATAAGTGTACAGTTTCGAGTTTGCCATAGATGACCCCAGCGATTACGAATCTCAATGTTTCTTCGGTTATGTTCTTCTTCTCAAGTCGGGATTGTTGCAGACTGCATGGAGGCCTTGTTCATTCTTCACGACGAACGTCTTCCTTCCTTGTAACATTATTGGCTCAGGACATGTCAGTATCGTTTGAGTAGTTCCACATTAAAGCCGTTTTCATCTGGTGGCTCCTGAGATTAGCAGAGGAAATGTGCAGAATTATTTTTGTTGTTGGTTGGCATCATTCCTATGTCCATATTGTTTCCAACTGTAAAGCGGCCGCAGTCGTTCTTTACACCGAAAAGGTATCCTCCAGCAGCGGTGTGACATCTGAAACCAACAGAAGAAAGCGGCAGTGTGGGCTCAGTCTCAGCTGTTGATTATGGTACGCAACTTTAAAACAAAAAGGTATTGTTTAATGTATACGGTTGTAACGCACTTTTCATCGAATAGCTGTTCAGAACCCCAAACCAACTTTAAATGCTTGATCTTTGCAGATGTAGGGGTCATACAAATGTATCAAAATCGGTATATCAAGGAATTGGTTCAATTCTCTCTTGAATGCTGATAAGTGACTAATCCCACAAATGTGTGGAGAAAGCTTATTCCACAGGGGCGAGTACTTGATTATAAAAAGTTATATTGCAAGTAGTCCGAGAAAGCGGTACAGAGACGGTATTATACACGCCTAGTAAAGAATATCTATTGATATTCTGATCTCTCATTTCTGGAAAGGCCATGCTACTCTTATGCATTATGCTCAAGTGGAAAAAGGTCAAATTAATTTTTATTTGCCGAAGCGATAACGGTTCAAGTTTCAGTGCCATGCATCGTTGTTTATAATTTAGGCAAGTGTAAAAGCCAAATAATTGTTTTGAAAACTTTTGAACTTTCTCAATCGCTCTACTCTGTCACACTGGCGCATAGTAGTACAAATGATTGTACCATATTCTAAATGTGGTCTGGCAAAGGTCATGTAGACACTGAGTTTACTGTCCAGGTACTTGAAATATTTCTGGATCAGTCCTATGGTTCTGCGACATTTTGCTACTTGGACCTCGGCATGCTCCGAGAAGTTGAAGGAGCTGGAGTAATGCATACCAAAATCTCGTACCAGTGGTTTGTCAGGAATAGTGTTACCACTTATACTAAGTACACTGGGCGGTAGAATGCATTTATGTGTAAGTATGCAACTTTTGTTTGCCGAAAACTCTATTAGCCAGTCATTGAACCATGAACTGAGGGAAAGTAGATCAGCGCTAATATTCTCAATTGTATTAATCAGGTTGATATGTTCAAACGTGTACAACAATTTTGTCATCAGCAAACAACAAGGTTGCCCCATGACGACCACGGTAAAAACATCGTTGACATACATGAGGAATAATAAAGGACTCAACACACTGCCTTGTATAACTCCACTGGTAACTGGTTTAGGTTGCGACAGTGCCCCAATAACACTAATCATCTGGTTACGAGAATCCAAGTAAGAAGCTAGTCATGAATAAATGAGGTCTACCATACTATAAGACTTGGACTTTGATGGTAAACGATTGGGAGAAACCCGGTCAAAGGCCTTGGTTATATGAAGGCAGAACGCAATCACCGATTTCCCATTGGTAGCAGTCGTAATAAGATTAAGAAAGTCGGTCATACAAGTTACGCACGAGGAATATTTCAAGGATCCGGGCCGGTCTTTACTACTAATATTATTATTAATGAAGAGTTAGGTCAGCTTAACTTTTATCAGTATTTCCTTAATTCTAGAAATAACTGGAGTGTGGTTCACTGGTCTGTAATTGGCAGGATTTTGTCGTGATCTCTTCTTGCGAATCCCGTTCCTGACAGTCTTAGGTTGCTTACCTCGGAAACACTATTTTGGCAGACCCGAAGAAAATCAAACAAATACAATCCTGGCCAACACCACAGTCCGGAGGAAGTCAGAAGCTTCTTAGAATTAGGTTCCTACTGCTGGCGTTTTATTGTCGAGTTACCCGAATCGCGTTACCCCTACACTCTACGATGGCAAAGAGCAAACCATTTAGATGGTTCACCAAATGCGAAGGTCATTTCAAACACTCAGAAAACTCCTTTGTTTAGCACTCATTTTGACAATCCCCGACACGTCTCCGTCCGGTGGGCAGGTTATCCTTGAAAAAGATACCAGTAACACTGCAATCGGCGCAGTACTGTCAAAAATCGGGCTTGAAGGAAAAAAATACTTCATAGCCTACAGAGCCGATGCTCGAGTAAAAGTATAGGGAACTACTGTACCACTCGAAAAGAGATGTTGGCACTGGTATTCTTTCTGAAACACTACAGGCATTATCTAGTCGACCGCAAATTCATTGTCCGTACTGATCACTTATCCTTAGACTGGCTAAAACATTTCAAAGATCCTGAAGGTCAAACGGCCCGGTGGAAAGAAATAACCTATGGATAAGACTTGGACCGCTACCACAGATCCGAAAAAACGCACACCAACGCCGATGCGCTGTCGCAACCCCGTTTCCGGCACCATAGAGATTATCCAACCTGCGCCAGTCAATACCTAGCAACAGTGTGGCTGCAATGGGCTGAATACGGGCGTTGGTAATCAGCCAAGGAAACAGCTCAGAGACAGCACTCATCTACGAGAGACTACGCTCAGACCGACCGACCAGCCGTGATGTGGAAGGAAAGAGCTACTAGAGCCGGTGCCTTTGGTCGATGTGGAGCCAGTTGAAAATCTTGGCGGGAGTGATGTTTTTCTACTGTGGTCCAGAATACACATTACGGATAGTGGTGCCGCAGACAATGTTGGCGAAGTTCTGCAGGATCTACAACAATCTGGAGTTTGCAGCCAGACAACGCTTTTGGTGGTCGCACGTAAACGGGGACGTCGTAAACTTCTGCAACGTGAACTCTGTAGCAGATTCAAAAATCCATCCCACAGTAATCGGGCATCACTCCAGACAATCACTGCTGGATATTCAAATGAAATGTTCGGTGTCCACATAATCGGGCCCCTGCCGGACACGCTAATAAACAATAATAATAAGTGTCTATTTCACGGAGCCCCGTAAAGCATGCATAGGCATGATCAAGTGTACAACATAACCGTATGTTTCGACCTGGTTGGGTCTCATCAGTAGTGCGAATCCATCGACCCGACTGCGGATCGAACCCAGGACTTCATGGGTAGAACGCAAGCGTGCTGCCCACTACGCCACCGGGCAGCTGATCAGACGGCTTTTTATTTTCCATTTACATGATATAGCACAACCCATCTTTGAAAGTTTGTTGCGGGCCACGGACCCTGCTCAACTTAGCACTAGCCTCCAGGGTTATGACTCGATTGGAAACATTCACAATCTGACTGATTATCTTGCACTGCTGATGAGACACAACCAAGTCGAAACAGCTGTCCAGTGTTTCCGAGCTTTTCAGTTCACGCTTCTTTTGCTATAAGCACAACGAATTCCCATTTGAAATTTAGCCAAATCCTCCATTACTCACATGAAATAACCATATGCATAGGAGAAACCCAAAAAGAAAGATTTTAAAGTTGCAATGAATACAATTACAAATGAAACACAAAGGGGGTCTCGGTGTAAAAGGTGAAGTGTGTAGTGTATCAAGACAGTAGGAACTGACCGCTCCTAACTATAACTCTCCCCTCGGTTGCCTTCCAGGTATTTCAACACCAGTTTGGCATGACCAACCGAAAGAAGACCTGAACAAGACAGATCGAAACCAAGACGAGAACTGACATTGTTGTTAAAATGAAAAACTATTGATTTTATCGATTTTTTTATACGTATTGAATTGTACACCCGCGACGGCGTTGAACCGCTGTAAAACCCGTACGGAAATAAACCCTGAGTTCTGATTGTTCCATCCTGTGATTACCCGCGTGTTTTTGATCTGAGTGTGCGTATTACGGGTGCTAACGAGCCTACAATTCTTTGTCGTTGTTTCCATATTGTACGTCACGGAAATTGTACTCAGTTTGGCTGGTAACGAACCGTAGTATATCACAGAATTGGCGACCCTGCCAGTATGCCTCGCAATCCTAATTCCGAGAAACTGGAATCTCCCGAACATGCCACATCACTTTTCGGCGTTCTTATGCAACATATCCTAACCCTTCTCTCTGTCATTCATTCCGGAATTGTAAGAATACAATCTACTCCCTCCGTCACCCCACCGGCAAAATGTCACATGGGTGATGATTTCCACCGTTGGGCTCGGGCGGCCCAGGACTATATCGTACGTTTTCCACCACCAGACCGCAGATTTGTGCTGCTACTACTCATTGTGGGCGAGGCCAATGATATTGTGCGAGACGAAGGTGTGCTCGACGCGCCCATCACCCCAGAAANAAAGACTTCGGAACCGTCTCACAGATCGCCTCCACGAAGCGAAATTCGTTCATCAATTCCAAGTCCACATTCAACTTCCTGACGAACGCCTGGCCTCGTTTGTGCGTGCACTTCGCCGCCTAGCAGTTGAAGCATTCCCGGACACTGGCCTCGTCGACATTGATGACATTGATAAACTACTAGCCGCATTCCCGGACATTTTGGCCCACA